TCAAGGTGAATGGCACGGTACACAGCGCAGGTGAACAGCGCGATCCACACCTTTCCTCCATTTTTTAAAAACAGCGGTCCGGCCAAATCAATCCCTATGATTTCAAATGGCGCACAATCCGTAACTCGGTCTGGTGGCAGAGGTGTCGGTTCGCTTGACATAGCCTTAGTTTTAAATCTTTTACAAACGATACAGTTAAAGAGGACATTTTTAATGGCCTTTCTAGCTCTGACTATCCAAAATCTTTCTCGTAATATGCATTGCATCATCTGAAGACCAGCATGACAGTTCTTATTATGCACATTTCTGATTAATAACTTAGTGAAATCACATTTTTCTGGTAACAGTATTGGATACAGAAAAGATTCATAGGTCATCTCTATTTAGTATTCTCGTTTTAACTCTTAGAATACCATCATCATCAATGAGCGTTTCAATAAAATTATAAGATTTCTTATCAGTCAGATAATAATTTTGAACCAAACGAATTAAATTTTTCTCAGAATTTTCAATTTCATACTGTGAAAGTTCAATGTTTCCACTCTTTTCAGAACCACCTTTACAATTATTTACAAATCTAAATATCCATGCAAATACTCTAATCATTTTATCATAATTGGATACATCGATTCGATGCCAAGGGGTGCGTCTTTTGATAGATCAATATTCACTATTTTTATCTTTTTCCTCTCCAATTCTACTTCTTCATGCAAACAAATAATCTCACCAGTGGGCCAGTTTTCAGGGCCTTCTCGCAACCACAAGGGGCCTTCCCACCATCTAGACCGAAGCATTTGCTTCGCAAAACATCCGCGCGACAACAAGTCGGCAATATTTAGTTTCCCTGGGATATGTCTCCATGAATGACCTCGCGTCAACTCTCGAATCTCTTTAACCCTATTTTCGACGAAAACGGACCAATTTCCTTGCTCTGTTATCCACCAAAGGGCAGTGGTTGAATCAGACCAGAAGGTAACTTTTAAATCGGGCAAACTGAGAGCTTTGATAATAGAATTTGCAAGTCTAGAACCTATACAACAGGCCATTAATTCTAAGCGAGGAATGCTTAAAGATTTCAAAGGCGATACTCTAGACTTCGCCCGTACGAGATTTATTTTTACTTCAGAATTAAATATTGATCGAACAAAGACGCACGCTGCATACGCCCCCTTGCAAGCATCCACAAATACATGTAGTTCAGACGTGTCATTGATAAACAAGTATCGAGGCAAAGTAACATCTTTCAAAACATTAAGTTCTTTAAACCAGTTCAAAAATATATTTACATCATTCGGAGACAATTCATCATCCCATGCAATTTTCACTTTCCACAATTTTTGCAACAACAGTTTTGGAAGCAATGTAGTTGGCGTTAATAAACCAATAGGATCAAAAATTGTCTGCACAATTGCCAAAATTGTCCTCTTTGTGATTTTCGTATCACAGGTCAATGTATCTGTGTCTGTGCAGCACCTCAGCGTATCATTATCCAAATTCCAAATTACCCCCAAAACGGAAGTATCCCCTGAATGTTTGTCAACATTTGTACCAGCCACATTGCTTTCAAAACCGCGCAAGTTAAAACATCCATTTGACATGATTAATTTGGAATGTTCAATAAACGTAAACTGTTCATCAATACTAAAAACACTAGATAAACAATTATCCACATAAAATGACGATTTCAATTTTTGAGCAACTTCACTATATTGACGTGGACAGTTTTCTAATAGATGCATTATAGATGCGTTCAACAAGTAGGGGCTCGAAGAAACTCCAAACACAACTCTGCAATGCCTATAAATTAATTGCTCTTCATTGCATGGGAAAAAAAATCTGAGAAAATCTCTATCTTTAGATGCGACGGATAACATTAAAAAAGCCTTTTCAATATCGGCACTAATACCAATCGGATACATTCTAAAACGATCTATAATATCAGGTATTAATTCAATAAGATTTATTCCTTTACACAAACATTCGTTCAAAGAGAGTTTCCCTTTCTCAGATGCAGAAGCGTCAAAAACAGGACGAATTTTCGTGGTTTCACTTCCTAATTTGATTACAGGCCTATGCGGCAAATAATGACATTCATTATTCAATTCGTTTTCTGGTACGCGTTCAATAATATTCAACCTTTCCCATTCCTTGAACACATTTTGATAATCATCGAAAAATTTACTACATCTGAGTTTATAGATCATCTTTTGATACCTTTTCCAGGATAATTCTTTATTATCGGTTAAATGTGTCGTATTTCCACGTTTTTCATATCTTCCGTATCACATTCCACGGAAGTTCTACTTCATATCTTCCATCTGGAAGAATTTTCATTTTGTTCTCAAATTCAGATAAATTAAAACTTTCATTCATTTTAACAGTTTCGTTTGGAGCGCATATTCCTATTTTTTCAAGTTCCCATAACTCATTCAGAGGAATTCTCCTGACATGCATTGAAAATGTTTTCAAAATATTATCCTTTTCACCCGAATTTCGTTTTCCAAATACCGTCCACCCAAGTTTCGTTTCGACAGCCGTTACCCCGGACTGTAATTCAATAGAATTTCCCGTCAATAATTTTCCTATAACATCTGCTCCGATTAAAAGGTTAATTTCAATTTCCTTTCGCAATGGATCAGAAAATTCGATTTCTTTTTCTTTTAATTCATTCAAAATCTCTTTATCCTTAACCTTAGGAATAAAACCGCAAATCTTTTTTTCCGATAATGCCTCAAAACTACATGCGAATGTTCCTTTTAAATTGCTGACCTCGACCGAAAACACTTCATGTTGTTTAGGTTTCGTTTCGTCCCCCCCAAACAGTGCATGTATAACTGTCTCCTCCCGAAGTGGAGATGCTTTAAGCTGACTCATCATATTTTCACTAACGTAGCTACTTTGGCTTCCGCTATCAATTATGCAGCGAATAATTTTCTCGCGACCTTGACACCGAATTCGAACGCAAAGCGTTTGCAAAAATACAGTTTCGCTTCTGCCACAGTTAGAAAGAGAACTCTCTTTTGAAACATTTATCTGATCATTATTTTTTAGCTTTTGATTACACATTACATCAAAATGATTACAACTTTTGCAAATAGAACAACTTAACTTACCTTTGAAAGGACAAAATTTACTAATGTGACTCGCTCTTTTCAGACAAGAAAAACAAGCACCTTTTTTCAACAACAATTGTTGTTTTTCAGCTAAAGTCATTTTTTTTTGCAGAGTAACATTTTTCACTAAAATGTTTCTTTTCACAAAAATTACAGTTCGGAACACTCTTACCTGAATTCTCAAGACTTACTAGAGCTGATGCTGTTACGGGATCATTTTGCTTTACCTGTTCGTGGTTAAATCTTCCGATGGTTCTGTTGGGAAGCGAAACCAGTTCTTGCGAGGAGAACCATCTCTTCCCCCTTAACTTCCTGTTTTAAGAAATTCATTAAATATTTCAAAGATCGATTCCCTTTAGTTTCAATGGAGTCGTGATTTCTGCTTCTTTCCCATGCCATCAGTACTTCTTCTGGTAAGCAACTTTCCACTAAGGGGGTCAAAAAATCCCCATATTTTTCTTGGGTTCTCCCCCAAACTTTCCAACGCTCGCAATTTTCCTTCTAGTTCATCATACAGGGAGGGTAGATCAGTTTTTGCTCTTCCGGTTACAGCGTTCTTCATCACTAGGCTTAACAAGTCTCTCACATAGATTTGCACAAGTAAATCTTCGCGTCCAAAGCGCTCTCTTAGTTGTTCGATGGCTTTAGGATAATTAGCTGCCGTTGCCGGGAAGCTAAGGACTAGGCGTTCTGCTTTCGATTTGGGTTCCATGGCCTGCAATAGATACTGCATTTTATCTTCATCGGCGATACTTTTGTCATCGTGGATTTTCTGGAACTGACTCCAAAAAGTCAGGTAATCTTTAGCTTCACCACTGAATTTTTTAAGCTCAATTTTAGGCAATTTAAATTTCCTAGATTCGGAATTATTTGAAGGAGAGGAGGCTTGTATTTCCGCATCTATTTGAGCACACTGTTCTAGAAACTTATCTCGATAATTCTCCGCTTCTTGAAAATCATCACTAAATAATTTTTCTCCATCTTCAGTCTGCAGAATTTGCTGCGATATAGCACTCTGGCATACGTCAAGTCTCTGGAATTTATCACAAAGTTGACACTTCAAAATCGAAAGTATTTTTAAATCTCTTACTTCTTTAGTTAATTCACTTTCGGTTTTCCTTGAGGTTTGCGAAAACGCAATTCTAAGTCCTTTTCTTTGAGCCTTTAAAGCGATCAAATCCATCTTCAAAGTATATTCAAAATCGAAATTCAATATCAAAAGTTCAATCGGAAAATTCTAATTCAAAGCACCCGGTCCCGCCGAGGGTACCACTATGTTTACGAAGAACACAGAAAATATATAAATCAAATATATTTAAAACAGTTCGTTCAGTTGCGGGCCTGCCTCTACCCGAGGCTGGGTGCATTATGAATAAAGACAAAAAAGTTCTTAACAAGTCATTCTTTATTTCCATCGAAACAGTATCACTCTTCCGAGATCAGCTTTCGATCCGTCTACAAGTAAAACATTCGAAAACACTCAGCACACAGGCTGACGTCACAAACAGCCGCGCCTCGCGCCGATTATTACTTCAGTTCATTTCACAACACCCATGTAGAGCTACTAGAGATACTCTTTATAGTAGCCTTAGTTCCATTTTATAAGAACGTTAGTTTACTTTTGGAATGAGTACAATTACCCTTTCTTAATTATTTTATTTTTTCTCCCAACTCACTTTTCTGAAACTCCAGGCCTCAGCTTTTTTATCTTTTCCGAAGAACAATACCCCATACTTTAGAAAGTACTCCGTATTTGAGCCTCCACTGCGAACGTTTCCATCGAAAGTGTAATATAATAGTAATACACGAAATTTTTTTTTACATGATTTGGCACTTTTTTGCATTTTCTAGCATATCTAGCTTAAAAGTGTGTTGGCAACACTGTCCGCTTTGATGTAAACAGTAAATAAAAATGTCTGGTGTAGTTGTGATAAGTAAATCGGCGAAATGTGTAGCTACAAGAAAACATGTCAGAGATATATTTTTTACTGCTTCTCGCTCTTATTTCAAAAATTCAAGAATGTTAGGTTATTATTTTAAAAGACTTCCTGTTCCAGTGTACAAGAAACGACAAGAAAATTACAGAGAAAATGTTTTGCGGCCTCTTGAGGAAATTCTATCTTTGAAAGAAAGACTGGCCGGTATAAATGAGTTTTTCGATAAACTAAAATAATTATTTAAAATTCCCCCATACATGACAGTATGCATGTTTTTTAAAATTTTTCTTAAATCAGTGTGTGATGTTTCAAAGCTTCTTATATTTTTAGAGCTAAATGCTCCTGATCCTGTTTTGGATGCCAAAGTTGATATAGGTTTGCCTAAAGATCAGTACATAGCAAAAGTTACCCTGAAAGATCGATTAGAATGGCGGAAAAGAATCTCGGAAGAGAATCGAATGTCAACAATTGATGGGGAAATCGGTGAGTGTTTTTGTTAACATCTGCTATAATTTGTATGGGATTTCTTACGATGGCGTGTAAAATCAGAATGCCTTTTTATGTGATTACATTCATTATTTTTCAAAAATCAGCGCATTACGAAGTGTTTACCAGTGTCCAGTATTTTTATCGTCACTACCAGTTCTATTAACCCGTGCACGCGATTAAACAAACCTTTCTCAAAGCACGCCTACTTTATGCAAATTGTTGAAATCCAGTGTAATCGTGTTTGAGGTTGACCTCTTTATGTTTCCGAATTTTTTTTACTGGGGTTTTGATTCACAGTCTTAATTTTGATTGGTCGGGCCTTTTAGACCCAGCGTGCCTATTCGTATTACTATTACATAGTTGATTTGTGATAGTATAGAAAGCGGCAAACATGGCACTTAATTTATCTTACAAGGAAGAATGTTGCAAAAGTTCTTAAATTCATCAACTGGCATAAAGTATATTGAAGAAAATGAGGGGATGAAAGTGATGATGCATGGGGTGAAGTGCAGAAACGTCCACTTATTTGGCACGTTTTGTTTAGCACTTTTTACAAGAGTAAGAAAAATTGGATTTTTGTCAATTTCCTTTGACTTTTTAAGAGAAAATAAATTGATGTATACATGGAAAAAATTGAGAGTGCACAGTGCCAAGTTAGTGCAATTCTCTGATGTTTTTTTAAATGAAAATAGGTCGATGTGTACATGGATACTGAGTTTGTGCAATTCTTAAAAATGCGTCAAGCAGTGGGTTATTCTGCACTTTCCCCCATGAATGTTTAGTTCACATGATAATGTTTCTCAGAAACAGACATAGATTTTTAAAATGAAAGTCAGAATGACATAAATTGCTTATTGACATAATTGGAAAAAATTATTGGGAACAATTAAAAAAAAAAAAAAAAATAAAGATTTTGCCCAGCGAAAAAGCACACAAAAATGTAAATGTGCTGTGCAGAATATGAAAAATATTTGTATGTGGAACACACAACTTTTTATACAAAATACTGCTAACATTTGTTGTTGCATTTTTTTCCTTGGTGTCTATAATGCTAATAAAGAAAATAAAGAAACGATACAGAGTAAATGACAGAGCTAATAAAGAAAATAAAAAGGTTAATCTTCGGATTATGGTAACTTCGCGATTTTTTGGCGACCAACCGTGCTACAGCAACCTGCTTGCTAGTTTTTTTTTGACGCCATTTTGTTTTCACAAAGTAAAGGCAAAAGGCATGTTTTTTTTTTTTATTATTATTTAACATTTTTTCCAACAATCTGCTAGCCGAATTACGCTTATGCTAGAACTTTTATGGAACAAAAGTGCTTCATCATGACGATGATTATGTGCGAAGTTGGGAGAAAGTGCAGAATCGCCCACTGCTTGCCACGTTTTTAAGAATTGCACATACATGGTATCCATGTACACGTTGACTTATTTTCACTTAAAAAAATCCCAGAATTGCACAAAAATGGCATTGCGCACACTCTTGACTTTATCCATGTACACTGCTAAAGTCCAAGCTAGTAACCTTTATCGCTTACCAAAATGTCGCCAAACTACCTGTTACCATATTCCAAAGATTAGCCAATTTTATTTCATAAAAGCATTTGCAGAAATTAAAAATTTTAATATGCATATTTTTTTAAAGTTTGACCCTAAAATTTACTGTTGGCACAGATATAGCACTTTTTGGTTGATCTTTACATTATGGTAACTTGGCGTTTTTTTGGCGAAAATTTGGCGACCAACTCTCCTACAGCAACATTCTATTTTTTTTTTCCCGCCGCCATTTTGTCTTCACGAAGTAAAAGACATGTTTCTTTTCTTTTATCTACTGAACACTTCTTCCAACAATCTACTAGCCGAATTACACTTATGCTTAGAAATTTTATCTAACAAAAACTGCTTAATCATGACAAATATTCACTGCAAAGTTGGGAAAAAAAAGTGCACAATACCATACTCCTTACGCGTTTTTCAAAATAACACATACACATAAACCATGTACACGCCGACTTATTTTTACTTAAAAAAACATCCTAGAATTGCATAAAAATGGCATTGCACACACTCTTCACTATATCCATGTACACTGCTTTTTTCTCATAAATTAGAAAAATTTCACGAAAATACATGACAATTTTCTCAATCTTTAAACCCGGTAAAAAGAACATATATGAAATTACCTGATCGCGAAAAAAGTATTTACCCTTTCCAATATGAACATTTCCACATATAAAATAAATAAATAATATCCAAAACTTTTACCTCTAAATCATCTATTACATTATACACGTCACCAACGAATTCATACCGCAAGTATTACAAATACTTAGTGTCAGATATTTTAAATTATTTCCATGCACATTTACTTCAACTTAAACGTATACCAAATTCCTACAAACATAAAATTCACAAAATAACTATCATTTAATTAAAATATCACTAAAACCATGTACACGCCGACTTATTTTACTTAAAAAAAATCCCAGAATTGCACAAAATGGCATTGCGCACACTCTTCACTATATCCATGTACACTGCTTTTTTCTCATAAATTAGAAAAATTTCACAAAAATACATGACAATTTCTCAATCTTTAAACCCGGTAAAAAGAACATATATAAATTACCTGATCGCGAAAAAGTAATGAACATTTCCACATATAAAATAAATAAAATATCCAAACACTTTTACCTCTAAATCATCTATTACATTATACACGTCACCAACGAATTCATACCGCAACCATTACAAATACTTAGTGGTCAGATATTTAAATTATTTCCATGCACGTTTACTTCAACTAAAACATATACCAAATTCCTACAAACATAAAATTCACAAAATAACTATCATTTAATTAAATATAATTAAATTCAAAAACACTACTTAAAATATAAATGAGCACATACATTAAATTATACATACATAAATACCCATTTCGAATTCACTTTAGTTACGGCCATGGGATCCAAAAAATTCACGAACAATGTTTCACACAACACAGAATAAAGCCAAATACAAAAATTTCCAGATTTTTTCCCGATTTCCCCCCTTTTCCGATTAAAGAACCATAATTCGTCCATTAATATCACATGACATATCCCATGATCTCTCATTTCCCTCACACAAAATAATGCGTAATCGGAACTGAGTACTGCTCACATTATTACCAAAGTGCCAGGTAGTAACCTTTATCGCCTCCAAAATGTCGCCAAACTACCAGTTACCATATTGTAAAGATCAACCCACTTTTTCTGAAGATTTACAATTTTTTCTTCAAAAATCCGGAATCGGGACTTTTGGACCTAGTGCATGCACTCATGTAACCCACACTCTTGTCGCGGGTTAAAGTCTCGACTGAGTTACAGAGAAATTAATGTAAGATGAATGTGTCAAGAAGCTCATCAGTAGCTGCATACATTTTTTAGAGCTTTCAGTAAAGGCTATAATGTATTAACCAATCATCCATAATAAACTGATTTGTGCATTTCTGACCCAACAAATATATTAGTTGAAAGATCGGATTTGCAGGTATTTGTCCCTCGGAAAACCAAGAGCCCTTTCTCACATTCCTTTTGACCTCATTCTTGGAAGGACCGGACACATGACACTTACATTCACGCAAATCTGTCACATCTTTCAACTAATTTCATACTATTTTTACGCTTAGGACATTCTTAATTGAAATCAAACCATAATTTGTGTACTATTCTATTATACATCTTTCGCCTTTATCTTGCAACCGAATCAAATAAGCAAAATCCACGTGTTCAACTTTTTTGACACGAGCCATTTTGCTCACACTATTAAAAAAGAATACGCATATTCAAAAAGCCCGGTTAACTAATACAAACTGTAACCCTAAACCCTAACGATTTTCATTAGGAAAAAAAATATGGATTACCAGATTTGGAGCAATTTCGCTTAACTTGGCGACTGGCCTGTAATCTCCAGCCTAGCCATGGATTTATCTAACGTGAGTTTTTTATGATATAGATTTTATATGATATTTTTTCTTAATTCTTATAGAACAGATAATAAATGAGCAGTGATTTTATTGAAACGATTTGTTTCGCAAAAATAGTTTTTATTTTATTTAAAAAAAAAAAAAAAGAGTATGTATAATGCTATTTTACTTGAATTTCTTAGTAGCAAATGGGTTTACTATATGATGTCTCAGTGGTTTTCTGCATGTATTACATGAATCCAAGCCTTAGAAAATTGCCCTAGCAGTTGAAGACTGCTGGATACTGGTAGTTCGAGCACAGGCAAATGGGCTGGTTGCATGAGTGGTTTTTCCCTTGTGTAACATGAATATGAGCTAGTTTCCCTGTTCTTCAGGATGCCATCTTGGTAAAATCCTTGCCTACAGTATGTCCTTGGTGCAATTTTGAAAATTGTTGCGAACACCAAAATGACTCGTTAACTGTTCATAAATATTGCGTTTACTGCTCACCATAATGTCACCAAATCCCGTATGTACCATTACTAGGATTAAACCATCATCTCTCCCCTCTGCTTATAAAAATAATAAATAGCCCTCCTGTGCTTTGTCATACTCAAAATATTAAAAAAATACCAAGCCTTAGAAAATACTATATAAAATGCATTTATTCAGGCAGATAGCCCTGATATGATTAAAGAAATGTGATTTGACTTAATCAAATAACTGACCCATCTGAAGTATGTAAATTGTTGGGAAAAAAAAAAGAAAAAAAAACAGCTTTTATTGTGCCATGCAGAGTAAATTGTGATAGAAATTATCTAGAAGTATATAAACACTGCTTGTTCTGACTCCAGTTTTGGCTGCTTGAAGTTTCATGACTTTTCTCATATGTGATATAAGCCAGTTTTCTTAAATAGTACTCTATAAAAATATTTCTTCTCTGACAATTTCATTTTATTACTAACTTAACCTATACATTTTTTTGAATAGCCAAATTTGTTTAATAATGCATGTAATTTTTCACAAAAATTCATATTATAAT